TGGTGTGGTTTAGTGCTTAGTCCTGAGTCACAACAACCAGCTTCTGCCTCCAGCTGTGTCACTACTGCGTGGTGTGACCTTGGCATAGGCTGTAAGCTGACTGTGCAGGGATTGCATCTTCTTGATTAATAGCCTTGCTCAGAGTTATATCCCCTTGGTTCAACAGCACAAATAAGTCTTTATTATCCCAGTAGCAGCATGCAGTCCTGGCTCAGAAAAGGAGCACAATCCATTCCTGGTTTGGGAATCATCAGCACAATTAATTATATTTGGATTGCAGTGTAGAATAAGGCCTACAAACATTGCGTGAGTTTAATTAAAAAGATGATTTTAAGCGGCTTTGGGCACAGATACTTTATACTTCTCTATTGTTTTCTATCACTGCCTCAGTAATGAATTGTCAACGAGTTCAAATGAAATGAGCTTTCATTCTGCATGGCGTAAAGCTCTCAAAGGGGGAGAGGTAGCTGCTTCTGAAGAGGGTTTTAGTAGCATGTAAAATAAGGGTGAAAAGGGGAAAGTTTCTCCCTTCCTGGGTGTTCATAGGGTGGAGATCACAAATGCAGCCTGTGCAAGAACAAGCCTGCACCAAGCAGTCGTCTGTGCGGAGGACGGCTGTGCTCCAGCAACGTATCCAAGTGCTGCTGTCTGCGTCCAAAGGGACTCTTGTGAGCCTGTACCTGGAAGGTGGCTAAGCCCTTCGCTGGGCTGGGGCAAGCAAGCTCAGTGTTTTGCAGGATGGGGCCCTGGCTTTTGCAGCGTTTCAGTGTGTCAGAGTGGGTATTCTCTTGGCCTCCACATTAAACTCTCAGATCTTCCCAGAGAACTGGGCAGAGCAAAATACAGTCCCGGAAAGGGAGCAATTAATTAGGTGGCTCTGTGCCTTCTTCTGGTGTCAACCCCGGTAGCGCCTGTGAACAGCATAAATTCACTTGGGCTTGCTGTCCAGAGCTCTGATCTGGGTGAAGCTAACTGCAAAGGGACTTGTTTCAAAGCCTCTCTTGTGTTCTTTGGTAGCACGTACAAGGACAGCATTACAGACATTACTGCTCTGCCTGTAATGGCTAAGGAAAAGGGCTCAACAGATTATTGGGCTTGCTCCCCCCCCCCCCCCTCCCC